GTCTAAGTTCTTTATGGACTTATAAGAATTTCCAGTCGTGGGACTTAGAAGAATTTTCAGCTGTGGTACTTAGAAGAATTTCCACTGGTGGCACTTAGGAAAATTTTCAGTCATGGCACTTTGAAGAATTTTCAGTCTTTTCCCAGTTTCCCTCAGTTTCTGTTTTTTTGTGACTTTCAATTTTTTCCAAATTTTTAATACTTATAGAAGTCTAGTTTATGAAACAGGCGACCGAATTTTCGATTTTATTCGCTTAATTCAAGTATTTTCGAGAATTCTTGTGTTCGTGCNGGCCACCCGAGTGAGACCGCCTGCTGTCCGCACGTGTTGCGTATACTATTTTATANCACCAAAAATCCGTTTTTTCCACCGCTTTTTCGGAGGTGCGATTTTCGCCCGCGAAGGGGGTGACACGATACTAAATGACATAAATTGATGACTTAACGTTAACTTATCAATTTGTGTCATTTAAGGGGCGACACGCCTTCGGGGGAGAAAATCGCACCTCCGAAAAAGCGGTGGAAAAAGCAGATTTTTGGTGAGAATAGCCCCCCAGAGTTGAATGAGTGGGAAATTTCAAGAAAAACTGCTCAATAGTTCATATTTTTTCAAGTGATACTCTCAGAGATATTTTTGAAAAATAAAGTTTGAATAGTACGAAATAAATAATCTTATTTTTATTTGATTCTATTTTCAATGAAATTTGTTATAAGTTCCTGCAATGAACTTGCAACTGGTCATTGCCCTGGGGCCTTTAGCCAAGTCTTTACATTTTGTCTACATAATAATTGATACTTATAAAGAAAAAAAATCAGTTTATATATTAATTTTTACTGGGTGAGGATAGAGAAAGTGAAGAACATTTTGACAACATTGAGTGTGGTTAAATATCTCAATTTATTCATCTTCCTTCTCATTTACACGTTCACTTATGAAAGATACATTGTCATGTTCCACATAGAAACAAACGCTGATTAAATTCTCTACTGTTACCAGGGCTCGTTCTTCTGACATTTCGCACCTCCACATATGTGGCACATTTATTATTTCAGATCCTAAACCTGCTGATACGTTTCCCGTCAGATTCATCAACTGAATGATTGCAAAATGCTGCCCTTCACATAAACATTGGTTATTTGGACACCGACAATGACTCACTTTTACAAATTCTATAATTTTTCCAAAAGCTTTGCCGTTAACACCAGTGAATGAAATGAACGAAGAATTTGTGCGTTAATTTTTCCTGTATGAATCTGCTACATATAATAATTTGTCCTTCAACAATCGATGATAACGTCTTACAGCAACCGTATTTTCATCAATGCCTTGTCCGACCAATTGACTCATGTATTTTCGAGGAATGCCCTTGATATAAGTACCAATACTACAGCATTTTCCGAATGATTCAATGATTTTTAATTGTTTTTTTT